TTTCTGCTTTACCTTTGTCATTATCCCCATTCTCTTAATTTTCCACTTTATTGCAACGCGGATTTTTATTCAATCTCTGATAACCGAAATTTAGTTTTACCTGTTTTTGTTGTTCTCGTGGATAGACCGCCTCCCACCGTTTGGGGTGACAAGTTGCCATTCAATACTATTTGCGGAGAATACAGCAATGGGAACGGTGGTTGGATTCATAGTGTTGCATTCTCACCTAGCGGAGACGCGTTGGCTCTTTGTGGTTAGTTTTTAATGAGAGATTATGTAGACTACTGGTTTTCGCGCGGTCACGAAAATGTTTGACAATACATTTATGATTTATTTATGTCTCTAGGCCAAGACGCACAGGTAACGGTCGTCTATCCTGGAAAACACACATCCGAGATAAAACTTTCAGGACTACCGTTTTTGAGTCTTGTTTGGGTGTCCGAGTCTAGAATAGTAGCTGCTGGCTTCGACTGTACTCCTGTCTTGCTAGAGACCAAAGATGATGTTAACTGGTCAGTCAATATTATTGTTATTAATAATAATAGGCGGTGATAATTTGATCAATTAACGCGTCGTTTCTTTAATCGTATAGGCAAGTTTCAAAAGTAATTGATGCTGGAAAAAAGAAGGCAGCGGGAGAAGCCACTGTGATCAATAGGTTTCGTCAGATGGACAAGCGTGGTATCGCTCTGGACAGCGAGAGCGGAAATTCGGATTTAGCCACCGTTCATCAAAATACGATTACGTAAGTTTTACTAACATTATCGCTTGTACATTGTGAAGTGAGTATTAATTCGGTCTGACCATTTGGGACGTTACAGGTTGGTCCGTAGTTACGACGGATCGCATGACTACGTTTCAACGAGCGGGGTCGATGGAAGACTGGTTATTTGGAATATAAAGCACACTTGAGAATTGAGAAATATTTACTAGAGCACAGAACCTATTTAATCTTAAATATGAAAGAGACGAGTCGGCGTAAAAAACAAAACGAACAAATAAAAAGAGTCATAAACTGATTATTGTAGCCACGATTGCGTTATGCTATTCTCAACATCCCAAAAATATGTTCTGGGATCACTGTAATTATTGTTACTACCGGTAACTTTATTTTTCTTCACCTGATATATCGGTGTGACAAATTCAATCATTTAGCATAACGTGTCCAGTAATGCCCGCGTTTTTCATAATCTGAATGCCATGCGTAGGCGCTTCGTCTAGTTGATATACATAAATTAGGTTTCTTCATCCCCGACTAAGACATAATTATTATACCTGAAAAATAATGAACTAGATATCCGATGTCAAATATTCTGAGCTAGAAACAATTACCCTGTTTTTCAAAACAATTGGTTGTAGCCTATACAAATCAATAACAAAGTTATTAGCAGTTACCCACCAGGGACTGCTACATGCAGTATATTTAGAATTACCACATCAATGGGTGGATCCCAGAATACATCAGATACCGGAACGGTAACAGTGTAGTTTGCAATGTCTGGGCCAGTGCAACTAGTAGGTTCTTCACTGCCTAATTGTAATATTCCAAAATCCTACTATAATATTGCAAAATTTCTAAGCTCTTGAGAAACTTACTTCTAAGACGGATATAGCAGCTAAATTTGGATTGTTGATGGTGTGCTTCCTGCCGGCGGTGGAACTTGACGAGTCATAACTTTGCCTAATACAAAAAAAACTACTCTTCAGAGGCTGAAATTATAAAAATGAAGCAAGCTAGACATACCGTCACCATCGTTCGTGAACTTTTATACCGAATACACATCGAGCGTATTGTTCAAGCAACCAAGTTTCGCATTTTGTGTTCCAATACGCTGGTATTTTCAAGTACGGCAACTTCGACAATTATTCGTGCATACGGATTATCCTATGTGAGCATACGAATATTAGAAAAAAAATTGTGACAAGATATTGTTAGACTTTATATACGTCCAAGGGCTTTGAACAAAGACAATGTCCGGATAATATCTGTTGCTATCTTTATTTTAGTATTGGATGATCTGTGCGGCAACTAAAAATGCCAAAGCTCTCCGAACAGCGATAAAGGTCGAGCGTTATTATGATCCAAAGATCAAGAAAATTAAGGAAGAATTTCTTACATGATTGTAACGTATTATTAATTGGTGGGTCATCATCGACTCCACTTTTCGGCACGTTAAAGTAATTAATCATTGCCATGGCGACAATGTATACGCCTTCGTTTTTCCAGTTAGATTTATGTTTTTTTTGAAGTGTTATAGTCAAGAAAACGGTTATACGCTTCTTCTGTAACTTTCGAACCAATCTGGAGAGGTAAACCATAACAATATATGAGTCAACACTGAGCAGATAAAGAATCATACGTCACCTATTTTCTTTTGGAGTCCCTTGTGGTAACGTCGGATAGTTTGGATATGGAGCCTGGCAGGTCTTGTTTCGAACAGATTTTGAAGAATACATTTTGAAAAGG